TATAAGTAACCATAAAAGAATAAGGCCAGGTTTATGCTAAGCTACTAGCTCCATAGGTTCAGTAAGTTACTTAGCTCTGCTTCCTATTCACTTACACATATAAACTAAATGATATTTAAAGAACCTAAAATCCACATTTGTTAATCCATATAGAATCAAGTCCACCCAGTTTACCTCTCTTAAAAATTCTGAGATAATCACACCTAGTCTAAGAATGTTTTACTCTACACAAAATGAGTACTATTCTCATTACTATTCTCATATTTGCCAGGAAGAAAATCTAACAAAAATATTTCACTTTATTATTTAAATAAAGTTTGAGCTAAAAAATGAAAATGTCTAGAATATTAATAATACTCTAAGAGAACAGATAGGATATATGATCACAATTACCCTCTCAGATAAAAAAAACCAATCCCACTTGGCAATAGGTAAAAGAGACTACACTTGCTTATTCTCTAATTTACTCATTATTTGACACACATAACTACACAACAATAAAATATAAACTATAGTTTATACTGAGAAATGGTGAAGGCTTTCTTCCTAAGAATCTAAAGCCGATTTAAAAGGCCCTGAGAGTAGCAATCTTTGTTTTGAACTGATTGTAATATGGAAAGCTTGAAATGTATGAAAGCTTGTAAGGTTAGAAAAAATCCAACTAATTTTATCAAGGAAACAATCATACTCTCACCCCAATCCTACCCCAATGAAGCCTGGTTGATAGCTTTTTTAAAATAATAAAATAATTAGCTTATTTATTAAGTATACTAAAGATCACACTTCAATCGGAATCTCAAAAAGCTATGAAAATTAAATGACATTCTAGGTTAAGGATATATTTATTCAAAACCATATTTTTAAGTCCCTATTATATATAAATACTCATATAAAAAGGTAGAAGCATAAGAAAAACCCACAGGATTACAGCATAGCATGGGGAATGTGTATTTTCCCAAACTAACACATATTACAGAAACGGGATCAAAACAAGCAGAAATCTTTGAGGAAAAAAAAAAAAGGTGGTCAATTCTGTTTCCTTCTTCCCCTCCCCCAATCCTTATTTTTTATGGAAAGGGTATATTAAAAATAGAAGAGACCTCACCCTAGGTTGGATTCTTTGGGGATTGGAGAGGATTACTTAGCAGGTGAATCCAAGAGAAATTTCCAGGCAAAGAAACATTGTAAGCAAAGATACCCTAACATCCCGCTTTGGGCATTATATTCAATTTTAAAGCACCAAAAGAGTAGGCAGGGGCTAGGTGATTATGGAGGGTCATGCAAAGAGATGTACCTAAACCAGCTGACATGATGGATAGCTTCTGAAGGATTTTAAGCAGAAAAGAAACATATTTCTCTCAATAATGCATAAGAGGATAAGTTAAAAGACCATTGCTAGACTTCATCTGATACTAAGGCAGCAGCAATAGAAAAGACAGGATGTGACAATTACAGCTAATCAAGGTAGGCAGAATATAAAATCCTGTAGGGGGTGGGAGAAAGGAGAATACCACCATCTGGCTTTTGTTTTTCTTTTCATTTAAATACATAATCTAAACATAAACCCAGAATCTACATAAGGGATTCAATGACTTGACATATTAAGGTTCTCATTACAGAAAAATAAACGAACCTAGACAAGAGCTTTTTAAAGTAAACCTGCTTAAAAGAGAGATCAAAACTTTATAGTGAGGAATAAAAAAACTGCTGTTTAAATTATGAAGCTAATAATTATGGGGAAAAAAGGTAAATATAATTGCAACTACATGCTATTTCTTAAAAATAATGAAAACTCAAATTCAGATAGTATAACATTCATTCCAGTATGTCTGATTTCACATCTTAATCCTAATGATTTTTAACAAAAGAGTATTTAAGAGCTGTATCATTTTCCCCAAGTGCCTCTCTCAATCCTTGAGTGATATTCAAATCACTTGTTCAAAGAAAATATCAAAACACCCTTGAAGGAAATGTTGTGTATGCCTATTTTCCCTTCTTCAACTACTAAATAGTGTAACTCTGCTAGAATCTCATTTGACAATAGATTTGCAAGAGATTTTAGCAATTTTCCAACAATATTCTCATAGACTTCATGAAATCTTGTATCTTCTACAACAGCGGTCCCCAACCTGTTTGGCTTCAGGGACCAGTTTCATGGAAGACAATTATTGCACCGACTGGGGGCAGGGACGGTGAGGCGGAGGTGGAGCTCAGGTAGTAATGAGAGCTGTGAACACAGATGAAGCTTCACTAGCTCACCCACTACTCACCTCCTGCTGTGTGGTCAGGTTCCTAAGTTTCATGGAATATAATTTTTCCAGGGGACTGGGGGGAGGTTGGGGGAGGAAAGGCTCAGGCAGCAAAGCGCAGCCCAGGTCCTAACAGGCCACTGACCTGTATCAGACCACCGCCCTGGGTTTGGGGACTGCAGTTCTACAAGATCTGTTACTATTACGAGACAACCACTTTTACCTCTTCCAATAAAATCCTAATCCAAACCAACTACTCCTCTCTTCTGGACTGCTGCAATGCTTCCTAACTTTGCTTCCTGCTTCCAGTGACAGGGGTTGGGAGACACCACAGTTATCTCTTTCCTCTACCTCAGAACCCAAATAAACATTTGAAAATCTAAGTCAGATCCTGCTCAACACTATCCAATGAATTTCTATCATAATTACTCTTCACTTCATTCATATGTCAACTTAAATGTCACCTCCTTGGAGAAGCCGCACTATGCAAACTAAAACAGGGTCCTCCTGCAAACCCCTATCGTGCCTAATTTCTCTTCCTAAAGTACTACAGTCATGTGTCACTTAACAATGAGTATATATTCTGAGAAATGTGTTGTTAGGCAATTTCTTCGTTGTGTAAACATCATGGAGTGTACTTTCACAAACCTAGATCGTATATATATTTTTATTTATTTATATATTTTTTCAAATGAAAAACTAAATGTCCCAGCACCATTACTGAATATCAATCATTTCCTCTACTTGATCTGTAATGCCACTATCAAGTGCCATATATCAGGTGCCTATATGCTCCATTACAATCTTATGGGATCACCACCATATATGCAGTCCATCATTGATGGCAACATCATTATCCAGCACATGATTGTATTCATATTACACACTACTACCATTTTACATATTTGCTTGTTTAGTATTTCCCACAACTTCCATACAGACATCCCAGAAGTTAAGCTCCTTAAAGGCAGGAACTTCGTTAACTAGATTCAATACCTAGAATAATGCCTAGTACATAAGAGGCATTCAAAAAATACAGCAATTAAGAATGCACTATATTGTCACAAGTTTATAAACTCCAACAATCAGTGAAAGATTGAGTAGCAAAGACCTGGACACAACAGATAGAAGGCAATGCTACTGTTAAGCAGAGAGGGATCACTCCATTAAAAGGAATGAAATAATGTCTTTCGCAGCACTTGGATGGAACTGGAGACCATTATCCTAAGTAAAGTATCTCAGGAATGGAAAAACAAACGCCACATGTACTCTCTAATAATTGGGAGCTAATCGATGGGCACACTTGGACACAAAGAGATATAAAGGTGACTGGAAATCAAGAAGGGGGAGGGGGAGGAGGAGGAGTAGGGTAAAAACCTACCTATCGGATACAATGAACACTATTTGGGTGATGGGCACACTAAAAGCCCCAACTTAAACATTACAAAAGGTATCTATGTAACAAAAATATTTGTACTCCCTTAATATTTTGAAATTAAAAAAAATGTGATACGACAATGTGAATGAATTGTCAGTTTATTAGTGAATTTTTTGTGATGTGACAATTTTTGCTTCTCTGTTTGTACTCATACAATAAATATTCCACTGACAAAGATCTCATGTATATCAGAAAATGAATGCCAGGCTTAAAGATAACAATATCTCACAGACCCAATCATTCCCATATGTTTTAAACCAAGTAAAATAAGGAGGAAAACCAGCTGAATTACACAGCTAAAGTGACTCCAGAATGAACTAGAATTCACAAGGATTCTCCACACCATGTTTAACGGGAAAAATATCAAACTTCCCAGCAATGCTCCTTAACTAGGACATCTCCTGCACCCCTTTCCCCATACGCCACACCAAACCGGACCCATAATAGATGTCCTAAAATGATAACGGTTCTAAAGATTAGTGTAACCCACTGTTACTGGTATTTGACTTCCTAATACGTATGTTACCCTATAACCTAAGTCTGAAAAGTACCCATTGGACCATTATCCTTAAATGGATTAGTAAATCAAAAAAAAGTGGCTTCATGTAAAATTGCTCTTACTTTGACCATTTCAAATATAAAAATTCAAAATTTAGATAGCACATATTTCATAAAATAGAATTTAGAGCTTAAAAGGGATCATAGACATTCACTATATTTTACAAATACTTATTAAATGAGGCTAAGCATTGTTCTAAAATCTAGGGAAACAGTCATGAGCAAGACAAATATAATCCCTGCTCTAACAGAGCATACAGAAGAGAAGGCTTCAATTAATAACAAGGAGTTATAGGAAAATACCAAGGAAATCTAACAGATCTATCTAGCGCCCTCATTTTAAATCTGGGGAAAGTGATCTGCCCAAGAAAATTCAGTGAGTTAGGGAAAAAGTCCACGGTTTTATCACATTTTCCTCTAATATTATCATTTCATGTTCTCAAATTTAGATTTGTATGTCATCTGACTTTAATTTACAAGATATTTAAAGCTATCATTACTGTAAGAAATTTACCAAAATTTTAATCCGACTGTGAATTCACAATATTATAATATTCTACTCACTAAATGTTCCTGGCAAGAAATTCAAAGCATTAAGGAAACAGATGGGCCATCTGAATCTCATTTATAGATCATGACCAAAAGTAATTTCTCAGGGGTTTTGTACATTGCATGGAGAAGGCTCCCAAGGACTAGTACCATATGCACACTTTGTAACACGAACTTTAAGCAATTGCAAGTGTGAAGCTTTGTACCTGTGTGATGGAGAAGGAGCTTCAAATTGAGGCACTGTGCTATCCTCACTGACAGGAGAGTATAAGCCACTCATTTCCTGAAAGTACAATTATTTGAGTTATAGTAGATACTCCATATAGAAGATACATAAATCAAAGAGATGGCACATTCCTTTCCAATCCCGGGTTTTCATCAGTCCCTTTTTGTCTCAACACCCAAATTTCTGAAGGCTTCCTCTCCACAGAGTACAAAAACAAGCACATCTGACAACTTAAGAGATGAGTCTTTTCTACAGTATACATACTTAAAGAACTATAAATTCCTTAATAAATATTGTTCATCATTAATGAAGTCACCAAATACAGAAAAAGACAAATATTTAAATTAGATAGATGTACATTACACTCTAATTGAACTAGTAAATCATTAATCTAGGCAATAACCTACTGGTAAATATTAAGGTAAATATGACAGTAAGGTAACAAGATCATCAGGTTCAACTCTTTAAAGTGCAAAAAAACCTCAAGATATGTCAGTCTCTACTTTAAAAATATTCTCCACAACTATTAAGAAGAGTAACACCCTTCTTGATTCAAATATTAGCTTTGTTTAATGACTTAAACTATAATTTTTGACCAGTAACCCAGGAAAAAAGGCCTCCTAATCAACCATTATTGTATAAATTATGTCTCTGAATCATACCGAAAAGCTAGCCTCCTTTTCTTATATGCTACATTATGATTAATGGGAAAACAGCAAATTTTAAAATGCCACTAAAGATGCATAATCAGGAAAAATTATTTTCTGGCTAATGAAAGCTCAGCTCAATCATATAGTCAAGCAAGTGACATAAATATAATAATAAGTTAGGAATGCCACATGGGATGCTGAACATCCACTAACTATTAAATTCATTATTCTTTAACATATTCTACATATCAGCAAAAGAAAATAACATATGAGAATAATGAAAAACACAAACTAAATTTAAATACAGCCAAAGACAAAAACCTCATATCATAATAGCTTATAAGCCTCCCAAGAATCCTCCCATGGATTTAAGTAAACTACATTATACTATTAATTCCTAGAATATTGATAATGTATCCTTATATTTCTCTTTTAATCAATCTTACCACCTAGAAATGCACATAGTAGATATGTAAAAATTATTTACTTAATTAAAAAACGGCATAGCAATGAATCATTTTAGTGGTAATAATTAAGGGTTTTAAGTTAACATGATGGCATTCCAAGAAAACACAGTGATTTTTTTCAATCTAATCGAGAAAAATTATAACAATAAAACACTGTGAAAACAAATTTATATGACATTTTATCATCAAGAAAGTGTTCAGAATGTTTTTCTACAAAAGTGCATTCTCAATTAAAATTAAAGTAACATGTGTTACTTTCTTCATAACCAAGACCAATCCCATAAACTTAATGCAGCAACTTAAAGGAAAGGTGACAATTTCATGAAATTGAAAAACTTGCTAGATATGGAAGAAATTCTTGATTTCTTACTTCCACTCTTTTAATATCCTCTTCCAAAACACTTAGCTCCTTCTGAATCTGTTCCAGTTGCTGTAGATTAAAATAGAGAAAAAAAAAAAAAACCTAAGCCAAACTACAATGGTATCACCATGATCATAAGATAACTTTATGAAAGTTACATTTAGAAAATAATTTCTAGAAAACTAGGCACTAATGGCAAATTAGGGGGATGAAAAACCATTGATAAAATATAGCTAGAAGTTCCAATGTTAAAATGCAAAGGTAAAGACTTAATCTTTAAGAAAATACAATGTCGTATTTCTTTAATACAACAGGGTTTGACCTTACAATAAAAACATAACAGATGAACAATGATAATAAGTGACTTAAAAAAATATAAGGTATCCAAAGAACTTTCATATTATCTCATTTAATTGTTAAAAACCAAATAAAAAATACAGCATATCAGTTATTGATCCCACATAATAAATAAAAATTAGTCTGACAGAGGTTAAATCCCATCACCCAAAAGCAAACACAAGGTAGCGTCTTAACATTTCTTTCTTAGAGGTTTTTAAAGCATATTTAAGATAATGTTTTATCTTTTATAACTTGTCCATTACATCATAATCATTTCCTATGTCACTAAAATGCAAACATTTTTAACTGTTGAATAATATTCAAAAATATATTTTAACTATTCCACTCTCACTAGAGATTTAAGCTGTTTGCAAAGTATCACAAATAATTCTGGAACATACAGGCCTTTCAGATTTTACTTCATTTCATTTTAGGATTTTATTAAAAGGTTACTTCAGATTTTGTGAAGAGATTATTAGAAATAAAATTATTCAATCAGAAGAAGTAGTTAGAAAAATCTTCATTATGTAACATAAAAATGCTTTCCAGAAACACTATACCAATTTAAATTTCTATCATCAATATGGATAACTGGCTATCTTACTCTAGCATATATATATATAGAACAGATTTTTAAAATATAAAATAGTAACAATGAATACATACACAACAATACCGATTGCCAGATGTGAAATAAGTATTATTATATATTACGAAAATGAGGCACAGAAAGGTTAAATGATTTGTCCAAAATCATTCAGCAAGTAAGTGGCAGAATTGTAATTCAAATCAAGGCAGGCTTTTTGCTCCAGAATTCATGTTGTTAACCACTATCCTACACTACCTCTTGAAAACAGTAACTTATTGTTTAATTCATTTCTTTAATGACTGGTAAGAGTAAATGGGGTTTGTTTAAGTTTATTAGCATTAGCACCCTCTCTTCTGTGGCAATACAGGCACAGTTGGTAATCTAATTGATAACTTATTAATTCAAATATTTACCAATCCTAGGCATTTTGCTAAGCACTGAGAGAAACAGGATTTAAAAAATCTATAGCCCTTGCCCTCCTAGACTTCAGTCTAGAGGAAATGGTAAACAACTAAGCCAACAGTTGAAATATCGTTGCCAAGTAGAAAACAGTGGGGAAGTACAAAATAAGCAGAGTAAATAATAATATATGCAAAGGCACAAAAGCTATGAGAAAAGGAAATAATAAATCTGAAGCTATGGCAATAAATGAAATTGTCTAACATCAATCAGTATAGTCAGAAGAGATAAAAACCAAAACTGGATGGTAGGGAACATTGATGTTAAAGAGATGGACAAAGGACGAAGCAGGGTTAACTATCAAGAAGGGCAAAGTGACAGCCACAAAACCAGAGGAAAAGACAGTATACTATTGGAGAAACCGGAGGTAAAAAGACTGATTAGCACTGTTAAATGCTTTCAACTCATCCAGCTACACTAATAAACTTTCCACCACCTTAAAATTTGTCACACAATACTACCTTAACTGAAAACTTGCTCTCCCTCAAAGACACTACCTGTCTTGGCACTCTTTCAAATAAAAGCTAACCACTGATAAATTCTCTAACGCCTCAGGATCACAAGACTAGGTGGAACTCACCATTTGTACTACATTCCATGCCATGTCCAACAATTAGTCTCCCATTCTAACATAAAAACCACTCTGGTCTAGCTCATACCAAGTAGCCAAGTCACTCTCTACCCACTTTAGCCATCCATAAACACCCCGGTTATTCCTCACCATCACTAGAGCCTTTTGGTTCATAGACATTTTGAACTCCGGTTATGCTGACCTATAATTCAGAAAAGCACTCCCATGGTCAGCTTTTAAAATGAATGCTGAAAGTAAATATCTATAATATTAACATCCAGAGACAGCCAATATCACTCGTATGATACCTAATACATAACTGAGATCAAATTAATAATTTTTGTTTTGCTTTTGAATTGGAAAGATGAGAAAAAATTTTCAGTGTCACCTGAAATCCCCAAATATTTAATGTCTTCTTTTCTGAAGATAATGTCCTATCCTTCTAATACCCCAATGCTTTTGTTGGATAATACCCCTATAGTCATATATAACGTGAACTACAAAAACAGCAATTTCACATCGCTCGATTTAAAAACGAAACAACTAGGCCGGGCGCAGTGGCTGACACCTGTAATCCTAGCACTCTGGGAGGCTGAGGTGGGAGGATTGCTTGAGCTCTTGAGTTCAAGACCAACCTGAGCAAGAGCAAAACCCCATCTCTACTTAAAACAGAAAAATGGGCCAGGAGTTGTGGAGCGCCTGTAGTCCCAGCTACTTGGGAGGCTGACACAAGAGGATCGCTCGAGCCCAGGAGTTTGAGGTTGCAGTAAGCTCCAATGACGTCACTGCACTCTAGCCAGAGCGACAGAATGAGACTCAGTCTCAAAAAAAAAAGAAACAACTAATGTACAAGTGCCGCTCTAATAAATCTATACAGTACAGAAACAATGATATAACCTATCTATGTGAGAAACTCTGATAAGGTGTCAGACAAGAAATATTAAAAAAAAAAAAAGTCATAAGGAATGAAAACTGTTTAGAGGGCACATATTGAATTTAAGGTATTTCTATTTCAGGATGAAATTCTGAAGGGGTTTGAAGCTCTGTTATTAGGATATAATGCAAGACATTTTAGTACTAGCAAATAGAAGGCAAGGGACAATCATTTAAAAGAAGTGAAAACAAGAACTGCGCTAAGTTCACTCTGCAAACATCACAACCCTGAGAGGCAGAACCTAGAATAAAAGCATTAATACGAGCCCAAGAATATTTTGGAGATAAATGAAGAAAAGTGCACAAAGCTGAATTGGTATTACCTGAACAAAAATCAATTACACATCAACTCCTAGATCAAATCTGCCTTAACACTACTGCAGAGTTTGGGGATACTAAAAAAAAATAATAGATACATAAGATGGAGAACAAAGACAATGCCCCTTGAGAGCATGATCCTAAGGCACCCATACAAGCACTCTCTTAACACTGAGACAAAATCTAAAGAAAATTTACAAAAACACTTAAACTTAAAAAGCAAAGAAGTCTCAGAGTCCCTTATGAAGACAAAAATGTAAAAGAATTCAAAAACAAAGAGTCTCCCATTATTGACAATAACTTTGGTGCAGGCAGGTATCATTGGTACTCATTTACTTGACCTTCATTAATGATTTAACAAAGATATGCTTAAGCATTAAACTCATTAATTTAATTTTTTAAAGTTAATATAATTTAGAACAAATCATATATAACTGTTTCAAACTGAACAAAAGAATACACTGTTATACTTTCAGGGAAAAAAGCGAGTTTAAAAAAAGGAGTAGTAACACTTAATATATACTAATTCTAAAAGTGTTATTATGAAAAGTAAAGCACTTAGTCATATGAAGTGTACACTACAGCAAGCCAAAACACATGTCCCATACCACCAGCCCACAGACATATACATACTTAATACCTAGTTCCTGCAGTGACAGACTATTAAGACTTTGTTCAATCTTCCCACAGCAATTTATTTAAAAGGTGAGAAAACATAGAACAAGACGACTGATAAATAAACAAATAAATAACAAATAAATAAATAGGAGGGCAAAATAAAATGACTTACTGAAAAGCAAATGTAAACAGATGTCAACACCAGTAGACTGTAATAACTTACAAAAATATAATATAATACCTAGAGCAACCACTGGAAAACCATACAAAGAGATGTACTCAATAACATTATAGATAAATCAAAATGGAATTCTAAAAAAAGTTCAAGAACTTAGAGATAAAAACAGAAAAACAACAACTAAAACAACAACACAAACAGAGAAAAGAAACATAAAACAAATAATAAAATGGCTGGCCTAAGCCATAACATTTATGTTAAATACTAAATACACAATTAAAAGACTGCGACTGGCAGAGTGGATTAAAAAAACACAGTCCAACTATATGAGGCTCTATGAGAAACTCACCTCAAATATAATGAATACCACAAGGACACAGAGACTCAGTAAAGTTACAGAAAATTCTCACCACACATTTAACAACTTTATACTGAACCATGCAATTGCAGAAAACACATTTGTTTCAAGTACAAATATTTAAAAATTTAACCAACTACCAGGTAGCAGGGCAAATATTACACTCAAAGGAATAAAACACAAAGTACTTTCTGATTACAATGCAATTGTAACAGAAATCCATTAACAAAAAAACCCAAGAAAATCTCCATGTTCAAGTAATAAGAAGTTGATTTCTAAATGACCTCCCACAGGCCTAAGAAAAAAATATAATGAAAATTAAAAACAATTTTGAACTAAACAATAAGAAAGTATGATACCAAAATCATTAGCTGCAGGTTAAAAAAATAAGAAACTATGGCCCTAAATGCCTATATTAGAAAAAGCAGTCTGCACAGTAATACGCACATCCAAGTCTACAAATTAGAAAGGAACAATAAAATAAACCAAAGAGAATAGAAGGATGGAAATAATAAGGAGCACAAATTAATGAAATCAGGAAACAAACATAAAATACAAAGGATAAACAAAGCCAAAAGTTGGTTCTTAAATAAATCTCGTAAAATTGATACATCCCTGAAAAGAACTGATCAAGAAAAAAAAAGAGAAAAAGGAACAGCAAAATAAGCAGTGTCAGGAATGAAAGGTAAGACAACACTAAAAACCC